CAATGGTAGTTGTTAGAATATGGTTAATTTAATAAGTAAATCATTTAAAAACAAAAAGTACTATTCATTTGCTAAGAATTATGAAGAATTAAACCAATTTTATCAATAATTAATTGTGAGACCATTTCAGTGGACTCTCTATTCATAACAAATGCGTGGTTCATATCATCCAAACAAAGCCTTATATCACAATTGGGATACAAGTGCTGAATGCGATGGCAGTAATCTTGTGGACACCACTGGTCGCGCTTCCCGTAAAACAACGACAACTTTTCTTCGTTTCTATCAATTGCTTCTCTATTTAATTCATTGACCTTTTGGTACAAATCATATTCAAAATTAGTTTATATTCATAAGACAAATATATACTGTAAATAAGGGTATATATATTTTTAAAAATATCCTCAAACCCTTATCAAGGTATTTTTAAACTGAAGTTTGAGTCTGAATATGAAACTAAAAATGTTGTATTGGCTTAAATGAAAACCTAATTGCTTCAATGTGAATTCGTGTAGCTAAAATTCTGAAATTGATTTCATAATTTTAGTTGACATCTCTAGGCACCAGAATACAAGTTTCATCAAGATCGGAGCAATAGTTTAAGAACAGGAATTTTTCAAAGTGTGTCACTCATTTTAATGTATTCCTATGGGAGAGGGTCCGTTTTTGTATTTACCGATGGTTAAAATCATAGTTAAATTTATCGTGTTTAAATACTAATAGAGTTAATTCAAAACCCTTTCTCTTCTGAGACCTTTATTATTCAACGCATAAAACCAAATGGTATTCATTGGCCAACACTGACCGCTACCCCAACTGTGGCCATACAAAAATCGGTGATTTACCCGATTGGCGGCCTGTGTTCGGTCGGTTCGCAATTGATTCCCGTTATAAATAATGTCATGATATCTGCACTAAACTATTGTCTGATAACTAATAGTTAATCCCAATAACCAAATAATCACTTCAAATACATCTTTAGTAAAAATATTTTCATTTTAAAAATGAGATAATTTTTAGTCAAATATTTTGTTGTAAATTTTGCAAAATAATTCTGACCGACAAACTTTGGAAAAATCCTGTTCATTAACTACTCATCCTATCTTGATGAAACTTGGATTCTAGTGCCTAGAGATGTTAACTTAAATTATGAAACCAATTTAAGAATTCTAGCTACACGATTTCATATTGAAGCAATTAGGTTTCCATTTAAGCCAATATCTTAAATATTTTATCGAGTTATGCGGCATAACTTATGCCTGTAATCACTGATCATTTCAGAGATTTATTGATGGATACAATACATTATTCATCGGTTACAAAACAAGTTACCGATCGCTGCTATGGGTAACAAAATGTTAAGTTAACATGGTTAACATACAGGTAATGGAAAACCAGAAAATTGATTCACTGACTGATTGTGATTGACTTCAAGTTATACTACATAATTATAAGTTATTATATTGTATGTATTGTAATACTAATACTAAACTCCAATTTTTTCAATCGATAATAGATTAATGTTTAGAATCAAAAGTTAATTTGAATTTAATGAGTGAATTGTTGTAAAAATGATACCGAATTGAATTCAATGAGACTCATGTGAATCAATGCTCGCAAACAGTTTGGATGCATTAAATTTGTAGCCGAAGTGATGACACACTCGGGAACATCTCTATGGCCGCCATATTTGAAGACAAGTGTAACCAATTGTTGTTTCCAATAATCGCTCAATCGGTCCAATATATAACTCACGCCTAAAAGAGGATATTTAAACCACTCAAATAGAAATCCATATTTCATGGCTTCAGAAGTCTCTCCCATCGATTCAATGGTCGGGAAAACGAGTATTGAATGCAAAACCTAAAACTCAATACCAATTTTCATTAATTTAATAATCGTTTATCATTTCAATCACTTTTAATATACTTTTGAACGAATATTTTCGTATCGATTCAATAATTCTAAAATTATATAACAGCCAATTGAATGTCCGATTAATATAATCTTGGATTCAACCCATAAATACTCTTCAATAAAACACTTTTTATGCACTATTTGTCCGTTTAGTGAATATAAATCTTCATTATCTGTAAATAAACCAATGATTAACTTTTATGCCTCAATCTGTTCACGTTTCTTATGCAAATCACAGAGAAAAATGTGCAAGGTGCAAGCGAATAGCAAACATTACAATTCCACTAACAGAACTGTAGTGTATTTAATGTTATCCATTTCCCATTTTTGAGAAAAATATTCCCGGAAAATAGTTTTGCGCCGGAATACAATATTATTGTTATACAGTACATGTAGCTGTAATCCAACTTAATGGACAATTAAACACATAATATTATGGAGTTTGGATTCGTTTATTTGTGTGAATAAAAAGTGAAATGCAACTCACATTTTAGGGTTAACTACTGCATACATTTTTTTGTGTTCTATCTAACACACAAGGAAATTATCTAAATGTAAATTATCTAGATGACATTTAATGTAATACAATAAGAGAGGGAACTTATGTTTATTTTGTCATCTAGATAATTTACATTTTAAGTATTATTAAAATGCAAGTAATGTTAGACATTTCCCTCCCAGTTTGACTATAGTCCCGGAAAATATTTTTGGGAGGAAAGATATTTTATCTTCCTGAAAATAGGGAAAATTAGATAAAATGTGGTCAAACAATGACCAGTTGATGTATATAAATACTTTTTACTAGCTGAATACGTGTATTTCAATATAGTTAAACATATTACACCAAAAGATTTTGTTAAATCTAATCAATTTATTTAATTTAAATTAATTTGTGGCTAATTTTTTAAACAGATTTTGAAAAGCGCGCGGAATGTGTTAAATAACATGAAAACTAAATCATTTATTAATTGTTATACTGTATTATATATCAAATCAATGTAGAATTTAACGATGAAATCGAAACTAACATTCAAAATCTTTTATCTCAAATATTTTTCGACTTAATCGACTTTGTTCGATTTGTTTTCTAAAAATTTATTTACTACTGAATATTATACATAAATTCAATGTAGAATTTAATGGTGATCACGAATATAACAATTAAAAATATTTTCTCTCGAGAAAGTTAGTTCCCACACCTTTTATATCTTCCGGGAAATTCCCAATTTTTAAAAGGGAAGATATTGGGAAAATAAGAACTTTCCTAAAAGTGTCTAACACTAAATGCAAGTTGCACATTTATTGTTTGCGCAATTTTATGTTTCGATCACAAATTGCACTCTTATTCTAACTTTATCTAACCATAGGATTAGTATTGCACACAGTACTATACCGTACTAATAGTACAAACATTATTCATAGAATGTAGACATCAATAGAGAGGTTCAATAGTATTAATACCAGAAATGCCCGGAAGAGTGAGTCCTTTTGGTACGACATTATGTCCGGCGTGTGAGAGACCCAACACCGGGAGTCGTGTCCTGTCGTGCATTCGGGACAACATATGTCTATAGAATGCAATTTCTCCCGGATTTCCTGCAATATTGTTATAACACTTAAAACACGTTAATTCACATCAATTCATACCCGATATCATCAAAATGATCGGACATTTGGTCATCACATGCTTTGTGGACACATCGACACCGTATTGGAGGACACGAGTGGTCACACCATTGATTTCAAGCCAACACTCGTCAAAAGCACTCATTTTAAACACCAATTTATATCTATTAATTCATAGACAATAATCATATGATTAATATTTTGTATGAAGCTATGAAGCAATTCACATTATGTAACATACAGTACAGTAAACACTGTTTACATAAAACAAGTGATTGTGTGCTTCACGTAATGTGGAGTTTGCAATTTGCAAAACTGCCTTAAAGTTTTAGTTTAGGCATTGTTCACAAAGTACGTACGCACTTGGGGGGAGGGGGTGTCGGCCAAAACGAACTTTTGCGAACGAGGGGGAGGGGAGTATAGAGACCTTATGTACGTTCGCATTAAAATAATTTAACGGATTAAGCTGTTATCAAAGTTAATCACACCAACACCACCGCTGACATCACCCACACCAACCGATGCCACCGTTTACACCACAGAATTCGCCAGATCTGTGAATACGTCCGTAAATTACGTCCATAATTAGCGCCATTTAATCAACAGTAAAACAGGAAACAAGTTATTTGCCCCTAGTTATGAGTTTTAACAGTACAGTCAATGAACAAGTTAATACTTTACCAGAAAAAACGTCATATTGATTTAAATGTTTATTTAATATATTAATAATGTTAACTTGTTCATTGACCACCACTTCTCTCACCACCACCGTTGACACCGCCCATACCAACAACACCGTTGACCCAACACCTGCATCCGACAACATGACCACTTCAAGCACTATTTCTATAATTATTGTCGATTCTATGTTTATAATACATGATTTAAACGATTGGTTTAATTTTAATTAAATTATTTATAAAATTTAGTGGTATTTTATTTCTTAGGGGAGGGGAGGGGGATAAATAACACGTAATGCGTACGTACTTTTGTTTAAATGACAACATGCGAACAATTGCGAACATAGGGGGAGGGGTCTAGATTTCTTAAAAATTGCGTACGTACTTTGTGAACAAAGCCTTACACTTATTGGAGAATACGAAAGCAATAGTTCAGAGAAAACTAACGCACTTTTAGAGAATACATTGACCCATTATTTCTGGACAACTTTTTCACTTAAAATTTGGTGAAAGTCAACTCAATTTTGGGCAAAATATATGTTTAAACAGTGATTTATTTAATTTTAATCGTTTTTAATTGTGATTTATGATTTTGTTTGTATTTCATTTCTGTTTTGGATGTGTTTTTGTTCACGCAATTCATTTCAATGAAGTGCTTATCATAACATTTTTAAATAGTGGTAGAGTTGCAAACTTTATGAAAATATCATTTCATGAATACAGCGGGTATTCATAGAAAATAGTTTTTATATTAATGGTAAGTATACATGTATAATATATGGCACAGAGCTGTCGATCTGGACAATTGTGGCCAATTCAACGCTTTCCAGATACCACTATTTTAAAGATTCGCTTTTCACACTAGTACAATTTATAATTAATTTATATCAGACAGAAATACTTAATAACTTCAAATACAAGCTTTATTTATATGTTTTTGTTTCCAATTGTATTTCCGAATTGTGCCATTTTACACGACCCATTCCCGCCCGAATGTTTTGATTCCAGAAACATATGGCTCTACTAATGAGTCATTACAGTAGTATTACTAATGACTGACAATAAAATGTTTATTTTAATTCAATTTTTCAATAAAAAAGGTACACTTTGTTATGGCGTTGACTGTAGTTTTTGCAATCCGTTTGATTATGGCGCAACAATACTGAATTAGTCGGTCAACAATTTAATTATTTGAATATTTAAAATCCTCAATTTCTATTGGCTCGCCAGTCACTGGAGGAATAGGTTTAATTGTGTTAAAACAATGTAATAATGTAATTATGGCCAAAGATTTTGCGACATGATTTTTAATTTATAAACATATTCTGATAGACATTAAAAATTATTTATTAAAAAATGTAAAAGTTATACAAATTGTAAAAACTAAAAAGTAAATGAAGTTTTGTACATATTATTGCTTTTTGCGTGTATTTCTATTAAAATACAATAAATGAATATTACGTACAATGTTTAGAAAATAAGGTCACTTTGATTTGAGAATTAAGAACAATATGTTTATATTCATTATACTGTAGAGTATTTATATAATTATAGGTCAAAATGATATACAATAATAATAAAATATTGTAAATTAGAGATCAGTACTAAAATCTCATGCATTTGAGATTTCATTGGACTAAATATAGTTTTGTTGTAAATATATCTCATTAATAAGTTTGTAGTTTTGTTATACTCTAGTCTTTTAAGTATTGGTTTTCGATTTAAAAATAAAATGGATTTATTTGGAGTAAAAGTAAAAATGTTGGAAGTATTCTAAGTTATAGGTTGTTATGATTGGCTTTAGAGTCCGTTCGCACCCTTTCCTTCGAGACGACGATAAAAATCAAGGATAACATCCTTGAAGTTGAGTGGATCCAAGTTCTTGGACAGTAAGTCCAATACAAACCAATCGCCAATTTGGCACTGATTACACACTGAGTGCAAAGCGTCCCGATTGGACAGACATCGCGATTGAGTCGCCAAATAGCGGATTCGCGGCACAAATATTGTGATCACACGATAGACCAGAGCTATGAAACTAATTATCGCCAAGAAGTAGAACCAAAACCACAAAAATATATATATCTTTTCGTTGACAATATTGATGGGAAGAATACACATCGCGTCGTGTTTCTGGACGTCTCCCGAAGACCCGTATCGATGGAAAGTACATTTGGTTAGACGTGGAAACACTTTAATCTAATCAATACATTCATTAATAGTAATACTAATATTAATATTAAAATTATATGACAAACCATTGGGTCGTATCTGACA